TTGTCCCCTACATTAGACAAAAGCTCGGAACTAACTGCATTGGACCAAAATCTGGAACTGACTGGGACCTTTTCCCCTGCATCGGACCGAAGTCCGGAAACTGACTGTGCATAACATAGCATAGCATAAACATATCAACTAGCATAAGCACATATACTGCATACCGCATCGGACCGAAGTCCGGAACACATAACACAAAACATGCTTGAATCACAAAGACATCAAGTAATCTAACTACTGCATCGGACCGAAGTCCGGAAACTGACTGCTAACTAGATGGGCTGGCATTGTGGTCATAGACCCATTCCTACTGGAAGGAAACTCACCTCGTGATGTTGACTGCTGAACTCTTGAATGAGAAATCCCTGACTGCTGCTCCAGCTGCTTCCCAGGTATCATGGGAAATAAAATACTAAATCAGAATAGGGATTCTCCTATGGGTAAAATGACCATTTTACCCCTGCTATGGCATGGGTCACAACATGGCCCAAAACCCTCAATTCCTTCAAAGTCCATCCATGCCCCCTATAGGCTCACTAATGGCCCAATTTGCTATATTAGGCACAGAACCCCTTTATTGGGCCTTACTCAAGCCCAATACTAAATACTTGGTCCTTAGCAACTGAATTCTGATGGGCCATTAACGCCCAAGGACCCTAAGCCTGAAACCCAGCCCACACTAAGGCCCAAAACACTCGAAACCCAAACTGGCAGCGTACGCGGGGCGTACACCAAGGTACGCTAAGCGTACTGGCTGTTGGCGTGTACGCGACGCATACCTCCTTGTACGCCCAGCGTACAACTCTGTTAATCCAAAATCTCATTAAGTGCTTAATAATCCGATCCAAAAGCTACAAATCCAGATCCTAAGCTTATTCCATGTCTTAAGCCATAAAGTTGCTTACTTGATGGCTTACAAGTCTCATAAAGGCTCAAACTTCTATAAATAACATTCTACTTCCATGAAGCTAACTAGATCTCATGCATGGTTCCATATAAGCCACAAAGATTGAAACTTTATTGCTAGGAAGATGTTTCTGAGCCTTAAGGATGGCAACCCAAGCTCCAAATCCGACTTACAAGATCAAGACTCAACCTTTGGACCTAAAAAGGTCCAAACTTCCATAACCTAGATCTAGAAGAAAAGAGGAAGAAAGTTCAAAACTTTATACCTTCCTTTGATGACCAAGAGGGTGCTAAGTCCAGATCTTTGAGCTCAAGCTTCTTCTCCAACTTCTTCCCTTCCTTCTTCATTACTTCCTTTCCTTGAAACACTCACAAAAGATTCTTCACACACAAAGAGAGGATAAGAACGAATTAGGGTTTTCTTGAGAGTAAGGAGGTTGATGGGGAAATGGGGAAGGAGGCTATAATGGGGTTTCTATAGCCTTAAACCCCTAAAATTAGGGTTTTTCCTCTGGCCGCGTACGTTGGGCGTACCATAAGGTACGTTGCGCGTACGCTTCTCTTCCCCGCGCTTCATTTAATCATTACGCCCAGCGTACAACGAGTTATGCCCCGTGTACGGCTTATGGGCAGGCTATGAATCGGCCCAAAACAAAAGGCCCACTCCAATATACAATTCTATTATAGCCCAAAATAAAACTTAAGAATTTAAATAAATTTATACCTCGGAAGACGATCGTTACAATCATAGTACTATTGATTGTGCCTACTGCAAGTGATCTTCTCACATAGCATGACCAAAACAGGATAATGTTGTGACAAGCACAATGTTGTCTAAAAATGCACTAATGCACATCCATGAGAAAGAGGATCTTATTGCATAATAGAATTTTTTACAAGCAGTAATGACGATTGATGGGTTACATACTAATACCTACATACCAAAAACAAACATAGTAGCATACTATAAAATTCTTTCTACTAGTGTCACTTATTCTTTCTGTATAGAAAACATCACAACTCCTTTAGTGGTTGTGGGGTCTTTTTCTCGGGCATCTATTTGTCAACCTATAGGTTGCAGGTACTGGAGCCTTCATTGCACCCGTTGGTTTTAGAATTAGACATTCGACCTTGATATGGCCCTTCTAATTGCTGTGGAAACAAATGTGCATCCCCTTACAATCTCATTGGCAATATCCTACCATGCCGCGCTGGAAGCATACCGAAGCACCACAAGTTCCATCATGAGATTTCCTACGTATACTACATTGAGGGCCCATGTGTCCTCTAGGCTTTGAGTTGGCATGCTTATGTTGGATTAGTGTCTAAGCACGTAACTACATTTGGTAAGTGCTTGACCCGGTTATACATAGTCCTTTTGGGTTGTCTTCATCAAAGCAACATGATAGGATGATTTATCAAGTGAGAGGTTATTATGGTTTATTAATATATTATATGAATAATATATTAAAGGAGAAAATCGGATAGTTTAATTAATATTAGACAAGAATTAATTAAGAATTAATTATGTGGCTAAAAGACATTAATTAAATAAATGGGACTTAAACTGTCAAATGTGTGATAGTTGTGTATTAGGCTGAGAAGGCTCACGGAACTAGGCGTGGACGAAATTAGGGATGTTTTCCATCCTAATTTCGGCCAAGAGGCCCTATTCCAGAAGCTTCCTTGGACTGCTTAAGGCCTAATCTATCCATTAGGGTTTTGACTGAAACCCTAGCAGCACAAGTATAAATAGGACCCCAAGGCATCCAATTTTGGCCACTTGAACCCTAAGAGTCTTCATAGCCGAAATTGTGCCTCTCCCTATCTCTCATTTAGCATCCTCTTGCTTGTGGTGTTTGTAAGTCATTAGAGGATTGACACTTGTGACTCTAAGCTCTAAGGACAAGAAGATTCAAGCTTTGAAGAAGAGGTAATCATCTAGATCTGATTTCTTGTGTCCATTTCGAAATATATACAGTAGATCTAGGGTTTGTAAGTCTTGGATGAATTACATGTACAATAGAGAAACCTAGATCCAAGCATTAGGGTTTGCATGAGCACATAGGATGTTCTTTTTGGCTAAAACCCATCAGCTTAAATATTTTGGTTGTTGTGGGTAGAGTAGGGTCTCGTGATTACTTCCTCTTTACGAGCTCTCCCTCTTGAGCGGTCCTTGAAATTTCATCAATAGTTCGAATGGTAGAAATCTGCTCCTTAACTGTGATGATTAACCTATCTATGACCCATTTAATGATATCGGGTAATTCTTCTAGTAAGGTCTGTGAGATCTCAACGACAATCCAATAATGTAAGGATGTGTTGTTAGTGCAATTCCCAAAGCTCTATACTTCATGATGTGTAGTCGAAATTCTGTAAACAGGACCCGTTACCACTTATTCTAGTAACCTTTTACTACAAAAGGTCCTAGATTACTAAACCTTTTTTTTCTGTGAATCTAACACCTATGTCATATCTCATCTATCTTATCCATCTTGTACTAATAACTCGGTCTTTTCTCCTATGATTGTGGGAGGTTGGTATATAATCATAGAAATGGTCATGACCTTCTACTACATGACGCAAGGATGTATATCAAACTAGAATCTTGTCCCTACGAGTTAAATACTTAACATAGGAGACACCTTCCTTCATGTTCTAATGTGGTACAACCACATCATAGTAGGTAGCGACTCTAGATGCTAGTTGTTCTACCCCAATAAGGCTTGTAATGCTTCTGCAAATCGGATTAATCATCTTGTTCCTAAATGGTTAAAGTCAGTACTACATCGGGCGAGGTTCTCAGAACCAAGTAACTTACGCAACTCTACTTTATTCATACTCGATCCTTTATGGCCACTTGGGCCTGAACTTATAGTCATTCTCCTAGACATAACCATACATAGGTAATAATGGATATAACGCAAAACGAATTTATAGTGTTAGCAACACTATCTACCTAACTACTAATGTCGTAGCAACTTTGTGACTCTTCCTGATCCAGTGTGAGTCCTGTGCTTTAGGTACTATATGTCTCTACTACTTTTCACACCTACTCATACTTGTCCCGAGAATTGTCTCGCGGTTTCTTAGCCACTTCTAATATTACACACCATGACCGCTAAACAGATATGTGTATGTGTCTTATGATCACCTACAACATGTTTTCATAAACTCTACTAAGGATTTGCATCTTTATCGATGCTCTATCTATGAATATATACCCTATCAAGCATATATTAAAATTCCATGATTCTCTTTCTAATATTCATTTCCTCTTCACACTACTATTTGTTGAGGAAGAACTTCTATCAATATTAACTAATTATCGGACGAATACAGTTGCATGCCACTAAAATCAAACTGTTTGTGGACTGAAAGATCCGACACTACGACAGTTAGACTCAGACTAGAGATGCGCAATAGTGCTAAATCAAGCAATCTTAGACTATTTCATTTTGGGAGCATGCAACTATTGTGTCACTAACATTTTGTGACAACCGACATATCTCCAACAATAAAAACATATAAATAATGGTTTTTTATGACATTAACCTTGAAAATGACGATTAGAGACTCACTTTCTTATTGGTTTTTAAAACATGTTCTATTTCCTGTACAATGCTATTACTGGACAATTTCCCAAAGTCTTATGCCCTTTATTAGAGGTTCTCACCACAATTCATCAACATATTTAGCACCAACCACATTTGCTCGTGTGTGGGGTGATCTTCGTCCCCTTGACCGTGTCGTCGCCTCTAGTGCATTTAGCCTTTGCCATATCGTATTTTGTATAAGTTGTATCCCTTTTTTTCTCTTTATTTATACATTGAATATTGATTCATGTCTTATTTTCGGTTTGTTGCTCAAACTTTTAAGAGTAAATTACACAAATGGTCCCTATGATTTGGGATAATTTGCACGTTCGATCTCTAACTTATCTCTTTTTTTTTTTTTTTTAACTTGGAAGATTCCTACTGTCTGGTTTTGTTGCGCGCTTGGTCCTTGACTTACCAAAAAAAGACTATTATGCCTTTATTAATTTCTTTTTTAATTAAATTTATTATTTATTATTTAAATTATTAAAAAAGATCATGGGACCCACACCCTCCTCTCCCCTTCTAAACCTGACATCTCTCTCTTCTAATTCAACCCTAAAACATTGGAGTGGCTTGGAAGATTACAACCACCGGAAACCAACACTGTGCCGAAAACCACCACAGCCGCCAGAAATCACCATAGCCACCTATATTCTCCTTCGTCAACGACCTTTCACCATTATCTTCCAACCTATACTTCATCCTCTTGTTTCCCGTACAACCAACCTCACCATCTTCCCCATCACATTCTTTTTCCGACCATCAACACTTCCACCCTTGTGGCCGTAACCTTCTCCGATGAACAACGATGATGTGAAACAGATAGATGGAGGAAAAACAACTTCATGGTGGTGGTGGCGGCGTATGAAAGCGGCAAGCAAGAAAATGGGTATGGGGCAACAAATGAGAGAATTAAGGGCCCGTATTTTGTTAATTCTTTTAAGATATATTAATAACTATAAAAAAGTAAAAAAAAAAAATCAATAATGGTAAATCAGTCTTTTAATATTGATTAGGGACTAACTATGCAACAAAAGCATAATTTAAGCATTGGTTGAGTTAAAAAAAAATTACTTATGATCAAACGCACAAACTGTCTTATATAAAATTTGAAAAATGTAATTGATAAGCTTTCTTTTAAAAACCTAAAATTTGACTGCCGGTCTTAAATAATTTTTCCTCTATGAGATTTAAAACATATTCATGACAATTGACAAGTCTTTATAATATAGGGTGTTTAATGTTTTGTAATAAGATTAGGGGGTCTAACTGAAAATACAATTTTCATTTAAAACTCTTATCTTATCTCCGATTTTAAAATTATTTGTTGATGAATGATTAAAGGAGAGAGCATCATAGAACCACACGGCTCCGTACGTATAAGCAAAAACCGCCAGAAATTCCTTGAATCCAATTGGGTATTCGATTTGAAGCTTAATTTCTACCATTCAGAGTGCAATTCGGAGATTCACTTAAAAGAGTATGTGATTTTATTTCCAATTCATGGTTGTTTGTATCAAATATTCCGGTTTGAGATGGAAATTAGTTTTTCCCTTGTATTTTTATTTATTGATTTTCCCCATGAACAATTCTATTTCCGATTCAATGTCAGACCCATTTCGCATTAGATTTAGTAATTTTATCTGTAACAAGATATAGTATTATGTGATCAAGATGATAGCATAGTCGTAAGCGAATCGAGTTAGAATCTCAACCCGATATGGAAAACGGATGTGCGATTCTTACCACTTTGATATTAGATGATCATTGTTTGTGGTTACGACTTGATTATTCTCATTTTGATTGGAAAATTGGAATTATTTAGGGGTCAAAATTTGTGATTTCTTGGTCCCACCATCTCTTTACTTTTCTTTGATTGATTTGTTGTTAAACTCTTGAGAAATAAGCTAAATTTTTTTTAGGTTTTCCAATTTAATCATACAAATCGACAAAAGAGGGGAAATGGTTTTTAGGGTTTGACCCTATAAAGGGTCGTGGATATGATTGAGTCATGGAAACCTATTAGTTATTAAGTTAAGTTTCTTATGGCCTGTTTCTTTTCTTCTGTATCAAGTAAAAGTAGCGTATGCATAAATTGCTTTCTTTCAGAAGGAAATACTATCTCAACAGAGACTTTCTTTTGTTTTCATTAATTGACCATTTTACTCTTTCTATTCTTGAATACCTATAGGTAAAATATGGCAGTGGCATTTTCGCAATTTTCATGGTGGTCATGGAGTGGAAAACATCAAGATACAAAAATCCGCAACGGGTCCTCCAAGAATTCCTCAACAACAAAAACCGATATAAATATATTAGAATTCGACAATCTAAAGTTCCCATTAGTAAATGTGACACCATCAGCCTCTAAAAGAGTAAAAAGAAAGTGGCAAAATCGAAGAGAACGCAAGGTTGATAAAGAATATGATGTTGTATTGGTTCCATCCGACGGTGGTTGTTTATCCGGATCAGAATCCGACGACTCTGATTGGTCGATTGGATGGTTGGAACCTCATGGTGCTGGTTTTTATAGTGATGATGATGATGATGATGATGATTCAGATGATAGTTTTGCTGTTCTTGTTCCTTGTTATGGTCGTGGATGTGGGGATGTTGTTAACACTAAGAATGTTTCAAATGATAGATTCTTGGACCACACTATTGGACAAGTTCCCGATATTTATTCTACTCGTAAGTCCTCTTATTTTTCTATGAAATATTCATCACAATTTGTAAAACTTAGGTTTGTAATTGTCTGATAGATGGAAATCAGGTATACAGTGGTCTGCTAGGTGGCTGACATAAAAACCGTCTGCCTATAATGAGTTTAGTCCACATTGGAATTGAAACTCGTGACTAACATGATGCATATACGGATAAATCTAAAATAAAAAATTTAAGAAAAAAAGATATTACATTATATAAATTATATATCAAATGTATAAAATAAACAAATACTTAATGATAATATATCATCTTGCTTTGGGTGTAGAGAACGAAGTGTACATGGAACAATGGCTGTCGTCGTTACAGCGCAATTGAGCGTGTATTGTAGCCGATTAACTGTAAAAATGTATCTATATGTAAAAAAGATATTGGTTTGATCCATGTGTTGCTGTTGTTACTGTTACTGTCAATGTAACTGTTACTGTTATTGCTGAATATTGTGACGACAAGAAACAGATTGATGTGCCAAGAAAATTGAAGCTATTGACTTAATTGATTTAAAAGCAGGAAGAAATGAATTGAAGATTAGCATTGATCTGGGAAATAATTAAGATTTTTGTTGGGTGATCTATGTTATAAAATGTAAATAATTTGTATGATGTAAATATTCATTGGAAGGAGTGTGAAAAAACAACTTCCCCCCCAAAAAAGAGAGATTGTAGATAATTCTTGTAATTATATTCTAAACTGAATGCATTTGTTGATAATCTATGTTGTGAAGTATTATGTTCCTTTGTTGTTTGAAGTCTTGTGCATTTGTACCCGATTTTCTCACCTTCAAATTGAATATATTAAATTTGTTTTTGGATGTAAAGAGTAAAATGGTTGGTTTGTCTAGATGATACCCCTTTATTCGGGCTAAAAAATAAGCCATACGTAGACATTATTATACATTTAGTCATTATGAGATGAAAACTAAAATCTTTCAATTTAGTTTAAGCGAACAAAATGATAGATAATTTTATTGTAGTCTTTGATAATCATATATAAAATTTTGATTATCAAAAAATTATAGATAATTTTATTTTAGTTTTTGATAATCAGATATAAAATTGATTATCCAAAAATTTATCTATGATACGAATAGATCCACCGTCTAGCATGTGGCGACTTTTAGGATACTTGGAACCAAAGGCTAAAAGGCAAGAATAATGAATCTGACCTAACTTGTCTTTTTATATATTTTCATAATATTTTAATTTTGATGATAATTTCAATTAGTGTTAATGCTTTACAATATTATATATTAAAATTTTTGTAATTCAAATATGGCTTATAATTTACTTTTTGTGTTTGTTGAACATGTATAGCTTTTGGAAAATGTCTCCAACTTTGATGATAATTTCACTTAATGTTAATTAATGCTTTACAATATCATATATTTAAATTGCTGTAATTAAAATATGTCTTATAATATACTTTTTGTATTTGTTGAACATGTATAGCTTTTAGAAAATGTCTCCAACCTTGATTTACAATATCATATATAAATACTTTTTCCAATATCATATGATACATAACTAATTTGCAAAGCCTAATATTTAGTTGAAAAAAAATATTGATCTAAAAAGTGATACATAACTAATTTCTAAGCCTAATATTTAAAAGAATTAAACTTTTGATCTAAAAAATATAAACCGATCAACTACAAAGCAGATCCAAATCCCTGGTCTCTTTCATTAATAAAACAAAGAAAATAATAAAAGAAACAAAAAGGAAAACCGTCTTCTTCAACCGTGAATTCTTGACTCAATTCCTAGTGGGGTTTCGATCGACGCCACTCGTGCGATATTTGTAGTCTCTTAAAACACCTTTGAAAAGCCGTTCAATAAATTTGACTTGTTGATTTTCATGATAGAAGTAGATTTGAAATTTTAAATAATGAAATTACAAATTTCATCTCTATGTTTAGTCCAAATTTTTGAATCGTCCATCCCAATATGCCAATCTTGTCCTTATGTTTGAATTTTGTTGCGTATATACTCCCTATCAAATATAAAATGACTTTAAATTTTGGACAAATAGCAATTTTGAGTACAAAACAATGACCGGTAAATGCACTTTTATGCATTTCTTTCCATTAGTTTTAGTCTTATTTTGCGTCATGTATTCTGCTTTTGTACCTATATTACTATTAATAATTTGATAGTTTATATTTTTTGCGAGAATGATCATACTACTCATATTTTGATGTTTATTTCAAATAAACTGAAGTGGAGTAAGATTTTGGAGATATATGGACGCAGCTTGGAGAATAATTGGAGTTTCATCGGAGCTGAAAACACATGAGGAAGCTAGAAGATGGAAGGAAGCAACTTGGAAAAGAAGTTATAAAGGCCGGAACATGGGAAAACCCTTAACAAGACCGTCTTCCCTTTTACATAGGTTGTGTCCCACCTAAGAAAACTTTTGGGGTGATTTTGGTAATTTTATGAAGTTTAGAGGCCTAAAAAGTCTTGACACGACAGTATCCACACTCCCGAGAGCAATTTTCTTATTTTTTAGACATGAGAAACCTCAACACCCTAACACGATCGTGTCCTGCCTTACACAAGTCATGTCTTGAAGAAAATGTCTCAAAATAGCATTGTACTTCATTTAACGTGTCCAATACAATTTTCCTTGAAACACGGGTCGTATCCCACCCAGGTTCAGACAATGGGTAGGGCAACCTGGGTGATGGTTTAGGGCCTCCAAATTTATGGGGCCCGGTTTTTATATATCTTCTTATGCTAATTAAATTTTGACTACTACATTTTCCTTATAAACTTTCAAATCTTAAAAAAAACCAATACACGTTGTGACCGGATAAATAAATGTAGAGATTTTCAAGTTTGGAAAAGAATTTGTTTGAGAGAGAATCCTCCCATATCACTGCTAAACAAAAGAAATAGACGAGAAGTCAGTATAAATAGAAAATGAGAGTTGAGTACAATCTATGAGAAAATGATAAAAATAGTCATTTACACTAATTACATTATAAAAATAGTCAGAAAAAACCAAAGTTGCAAAAATAGCCATGAATTTCACAGATAGAATAGTCCCATCTGCGAATGTACAAACAGCTAAAGCATAGTTGTGCTTTAGTTGCTTGTACATTCGCAGGTAGAAAGCCCATTTCGCAGATGGGACTATTCCATCTGCGAAATTCATGGCTATTTTTGCAACTTCAGTTTTTTTTGGCTATTTTTGTAATGTAATTAGTGTAAATGGCTATTTTTGTCATTTTCTCACAATCTATCTATCTATATCTATATTTATATCTCTATATCATACTATACTTATAAAGGAGACATTTTTCAGTCACCTCACGCATTTGAAACCCCCACACAAATTTCCAAGTACCTCATTGCATTTGAAACTCCCGCACATTTTCACCTTCAAAGTAATTAATCACACATCATGGTGAATTTAGAGCATGACATAAAGGAACAATTTGTACTTATGAATATGTTCCCAATCTCTCTCTCTCTCTATCTCTCTCTCTCTCTCTCTCTCTCTCTTTATATATATATATATATATATATATATTATAACAGAGAATTTTTTTTACTCAAATCATATTCATTTGAGACATTCTATTTGAATGAATACTACACAAAAGTCACTTAATAATGATTAACCATTCAAAGGCTTTATAACTTATATAATATGTTTAATCATCAATTAATGGATAGTCTATTATAAAATTGCCAACCTCTTTGAATCGACACACAAATACAAATCACATAGAAAATTCACAAATAAAACAAGTTTAAAGGTTTTATGTTGGTTTGAGGGCTTTGGACTATTTTTCGAGCCCATGTTATTATGTTAAAGTTTTTAATTTGTAAGTTTGTTATATACTAATTCTTATATATATATATATATATTATTTTTCTTGGTTTAAGTATTCTTTTAAAACAATCATTGTATGTTATGGTTGAAACTTTAATGTAAATTAAATTAGATCCATATTATCAATCATATGTTATGGAAAATGATATGGATAATATTTAATTAAATAGTATATTATGTTTGTATGTTTATATTGCTTCAAAGAAATCATTAATTAGAAATCATGGATATGCTATATTATTCATAGTATCCATGTAAGTTTTTTTTCTTCTTAAAATGAAAATTGTCTATCTTATTACTCTATATCTAAGTATATGTTTAACCTTTTAATTATAATAATTAGTGTCTTTTAAAAGTTTTCTTTCATTTATTAATAATAATAAGTGGTTTTAAAATTAATGAACAATAATTATAAATAATAAAATCAAATTATAAAAATCATGAATATGTCATATTATCCATGCAAGTCTCTTTTTAAATGCAAATTGTATATCTTATCAGCTTATTATATAGTGTATGTTTCAAATTATAATAGTAATATTAAGTGTTTCTTAAAAGTTTTATTTAACTTATTAATAATAATAAATGGTTTAAAGCAAAAGAACATTAATTTTAAATGATAATAACATCAATTTATAAATTACATAATGTTAGCAACAAATAAATTGCATTTTAAATGAATATCGTTATTGAAATTAAAAAATAATCGCATAAGTAAAAATTTAAATCAATCAAACATAACAATTCTTAAAAATAATATTAAATAGATAATTATATTTAATTTTATTAATGAGGAAGTTTGATTGATGTCAATGAATAATATTGTTCAAAATATTATGTCAAAATTAATGTCAATATCATTACCATTTTAAACATAAAATTTTCAATATTTTAACAATATATTTTTAACCTATGTTGCACAACGCGCAAGAATTCGTCTCGTCGATATCTATATTATTTCATTATATACTTATAAAGGAAATATTTTTCCTTTCACCACATTCATTTGAAACTCCCGTGTATTTTTTTTTCCTTTCACCACATTCATTTTAAACACCCCCCCCCCCTCACTTTTCAATTTCTTTCTAATAATATTTATAATTTTGTTAATTAAGTTAATTAAATATTAAATCTAAAGTGTAGTCATATATAAACTAAATTTTAATATTTGTCACAACCCCAAACCAAAACGTCGGAAACGTTCGGGGGCGGAGGACGTCATATTCAGTATCATAACAGTTCATAGAAAGGAAAGTACACACCACCATATATATTAAAGTTTCCAAGATGTTTACATAATTGTATTCATTACATGTTCAAAAGATAAATACATAAACATCATTCAAAAGAAGTAATTAACGCCAGCGCGTTAATCCCAAAAGTTGATTCCCAAACCTGCTTAGCGGTTCCCTGAGAATACAAGTTATTTCAAAGAAAAAGTGTCAACAATTAAGTTGGTGAGTTCATAAGTAGTTTAGAAAAATTGGATGCCATTCCAAAATGGGTGTATGTTTTCCAGAAAACGTAGCATTTCAAATGTAAAGAGTTGTGATTTGTTGTGTTGAAAGTGAATGTATTAGATCCAGAAAATCCCATATTTTCCCTAATGGTTGAGATACGAGTTGTTGTGTTTTCCAAGAAAAACCCTTATTTTCTTATAAAAGTATGAAATGCATATGAATGTTCGTGTTATAAGTTGTAAATAATTGCACCAGGAAAATCCCTTATTTTCCTATTGGTTGTTTGGTTTGTATGCAGGAGAAACCCTTATTTTCCTAACATAAATGGCAGTCTCTAAGACCGAAAATCGCAAGAAACCGACGTTCTCAAAAGTTGTGTCATAGTTTTATATAATAAAACTATACGAAGATCGCATTTGTTAGATGAAGAATAGTTTTAATAGCTACTCGTTCATAAAAGCATAATACC